TTATATAGGTGATCAAAGAATTGAAAAGCCAAACAAACTAGAGGAAACCAGAGATTACCATTAGCAGAAACTAGCATTACCAGAGCAAAGGAAGCTGGAGCAAGGGGGGCATGGAGTCAGGTAAGAGAGTAGTCCCCTCCCTTTCTTGAACCTATTTCTTGATTTAATTTGTGGGAGAAGTTAGTATCTTTGACCATATAATGTGTTATTAGATATTTTATATAATTTTTCATCTTTGCAGACTTTATTTTAAGCCTACATAAAGAATGTCACTTTGCTTTAAAAAAAATAAAAAGAAGAAGAAGCCAGGCACCAATGGTTGACGCCTGTAATCCTAGCTACTCAGGAGGCTGAGATCTGAGGATCGCAGTTCAAAGCCAGCCCAGGCAGGAAAGTCTGTGAGACTCTTATCTTCAATAAACCACTAGAAAATCGGAAGTGGCTCTGTGGCTCAAGCGGTAGGGTGCTCACCTTGCAACTGAAGAGCGCAGGGACAGCACCTAAGCCCAGAGTTCAAGCCCCACGACCAACCAAAAAAGAAGGAGGAGGAGGAGGAGGAGAGGAAGAAGAAGAAGAGTAGCCCTCACTGAAATCGTCATCCAAAATGTGGGGAGGAGTATGTCCAGGATTCTCCCTTTCCTTCATCTTCAACCACTTGCCTCTTGGTTAAGCTCAAACAGAAACCACAGTTACAAGACTGGAAACCCATCTGCAAACGTCAATCCCTTCTTTGAGGTAGGAAGGTAAAGTAGAGATTTGCAGAAGGATCAAGAATGAATGAAACTGGGGCTGGAAAGGTGGCTTAATGGTAGAGTGTTTGCCTTGCATGCATGAGTCCCTGGGTTCAATTCCTCAGCACCACATAAGCAGAAAAAGCCAGAAGTGCCACTGCGACTCAAGTGGTAGAGCTCTACCCTTGAGCTGAAGAGCTCAGGGACAGCGCCCAGGCCCAGAGTTCAGGCCCCATGACCAACCCACCCCACCTCCCCAAAGAAAGGAATGAATGAGACATATGTAGAAGGCTAAGGACTGATATAGCCATCTACTAAAGAATGTAGTTTTTTCCTTATAATTTAATTCCTTGGTAGAAAAGAATTCTTTTTCTTTTGCTGGCCCCAGGGCTTGAACTCTGGGCCTGGCCTCTGTCCCTGAGTCTCTCTGTGCTCAAGGCTAGCACTCTACCACTTGCACCACAGTGCCTATTCTGGCTTTTTCAAAGTAATTTATTGGAGACAAGAGTCCCACACACTTTCCTGCCCAGGCTGGCTTTGAGGAGAGATCCTTAGATCTCAGCCTCCAGAGTAGCTAGGATTACAGGCATGAGCCACCATCTCCCAGCTTCAAAGAGAATTCTTAAGGGCTAAGAACTTGTTCACCTATGTCCCCAATGTTTGATGATGATGACATATTGGGATTTTTATATCGCCACCTAGTGCTAACTGGCTTGCAGTGCCTCCTGTGAGAGGAGCAACTAGATCTCTCACTCTAGCAACATCAGGTCATGTGACTTGCTTTGGTTAAAAGTAAAGCTATACAATCCCAATGAAAGCTTTAAAACCATACTTCAACACACTTCTCTTTTTTTTGGGGGGGGGATGGGGGTCGGTCATGGGGCCAGAACTCTGGGCCTGGGCCCTGTCCCTCAGTTCTTCAGCTCAAGGCTAGTGCTCTACCATTTAAGCCACAGTGCCACTTTGGTTTTCTGGGGGTTAACTGGAGATAAGAGTCTCATGGATTTCCTGCCTAGGCTGGCTTTGAACTGTGATCTTCAGATATCAGCCTCCTCAGTAGCTAGGATTACAGGCATGAGCCACTGGCACCTGGCCAACACATTTTTATTCTGGTTCCCAGAGTAAAAAGTCACAAGAGCCGGGCATTGGTGGCTCATGCCTGTAATCCTAGCTACTCAGGAGGCTGAGATCTGAGAATCATGGTTCAAAGCCAGCCCAGTCAGGAAAGTCTGTGATACTCTTATCTCCAATAAACCACTCAGGAAACAGGAAGTGGCCCTGTGGCTAGAGCTCTAGCCTTGAGCTGAAGAGCTGAGGGACAGCGCCCAGGCCCAGAGTTCAAGCCTCATGACCAACAACAACAACAAAAAAGTCACAAGACTTAGAACTGGCTTACAAATGTGAACAAGAAATAGACCTTTAAGGTGTAAGCTCATTCAGATTAAGCATTCAACATAATCAAGAGTATTCTCACTAATATCACTAAGGGTGAGAATTTAAGGAAAAACTATGGTAGGCTCTTGGGGGAAAACATTACTGGATGATATAATGAGAGCATTAAGATTCTGAATGCAAACCTGAGCTTGCCACCTATTACTTAAATGGCTTGAGAAAAGTTAAATCTTAAAGCGCAAAAATAGACACAAGATCTGCCACAGCTCATGGGTAGCCTGGACTCAGCTTCATCAGTAGAAGCACTGATTTACTGCACTGATGATAATGGTGTTACAGAGGCTGGGCTGCTCTCACAGGTTAGAAGAACAAGTGAAAGGCAAAGAGAATTGTTATGCAGCATATTGTGTTAATACCATACAATATCATAAATATACATTGCAATTGAGTCCTAGGACTAGTGACCTTTCCAGTTAGATGATTTAATAAATGCTATTTTTAAAGAAAAGCTAGTTTGGCCAGGCACACGTGGCTCACACCTGTAATCCTAGCTACTCGGAAGGCTGAGATCTGAGGATCACAATTTGAAGCTAGCCCTGGCAGGAAAGTCTGTGAGATCTCCAGAAAACTAGAAGTGGTGCTGTGGCTTAAGTGGTAGAGGTGCTCACCTTGAGCTGAAGAGCTAAGGGACAGCACCTAGGCCCAGAGTTCAAGCCCCATAACAAAAGAAAGAAAGAAAGAACGAAAGAGAAAGAAAGAGAGAGAGAGAGAAAGAGAGAAAGAGAGAGAGAGAGGGAGGGAGAAAGAAAGAAAGAAAGAAAGAGAGAGAGAGAAAGAAAAAGCTAGTTTGATTTAGTATTTTATCGTAATAACAAATCTTGTTTTTGTTTTTTTGTTTTTGTCAGTCGTGGGGCTTGAACTCTGGGCTTGGGTGCTATCCCTCAGCTCTTCAGCTCAAGGCGAGCGCTCTACCACTTGAGCCACAGCGCCACTTCCACTTCCACTTTTCTAGTGGTTTATTAGAGGAAGTAGTGGCTCAAGTGGTAGAGCGCTCACCTTGAGCTGAAGAGCGCAAAGACAGCGCCCAAGCCCAGAGTTCAAGCCCCATGACCGACAAAAAAACAGAAAAATTAATCTAGTGGTTTATTGGCGATAAGAGTCTCATGGCCTTTCCTGACCAGGCTGGCTTTGAACCATGATCTTCAGATCTCAGCCTCCTGAGTAGCTAGGATTACAGGCATGAGCCACTGGCACCCAGCTTTTGTAATAACAAATCCTGAACAGAATATATTCCAATTAACAGCTCTATTGAAATATAATTCACATACCATATTATTCACCTATTTAGACAATTTTTATTTATATTTTTGTTTAATGTCTCCTTTATTAGTTCCATGACATTAGGATGTCTGCTCACCTTTAATTACATCCTAAGTACTAAAACAGACCCTATCTCGGAGTATGTGTGCAATAAATACTTTGCAATGAATATGTAAAATGTATTAATGACTATCTGTCCAGTGCTGAATGCTTGAAATGAAACAACTCAGACATTCTTTGTTCTCAGGGGCTACAAAGAGAGATAATTGTGCAAATAAGTTCTGTTAAGCAATAGAGGAAAGTTCAGGAAGTTGTATAGGACAAGATATGCTACCCAACTCTGACCAATTCATTAAGGTCTTATTAAAGTGACTCCTTAATCCCTGAACTAAGAATTAATCTCACTTCAGTCAGGTGCTGGTGGCTTATGCCTGTAATCCTTACTACTCAGAAGGCTGAGATTTGAGGATATTGATTAGAAGCCAACCGTGGCAGGAAAGTTCCTGAGACTCATCTCCAATTAACCACCAAAAAACCAGACATAAAGCTGTGGCTCAAGTGGTAGAGTGCTACTTGAGCAAAAAAGCTCAGGGACAATAGCCAGGCCCAGAGTTCAAGCCTCAGAACACACACACACACACACACACACACACACACACACACACACACAAGCTCAAAGATGATATTTTAGTCTGATCGTTGCAAGTGTCTACCTTATGACATATATACTTACCTCACTCTGGTTTCCCCATATTTTTCTCCCACATTTGCTTTTCTTTTGCTAAAATTTTCCCATTTTTTAATTGCTATTCTATGATAATGTTTTAAATTTACTTATTTTTTTGGCAGTAACGGGGTTTAAACTTAGGTAGGGCCCATGTTTGCTTAGCAACTGTTCTACTACTTTATCCATACCCTTAATCCTTTTTACTTTAGTTTAGTTGTTTGTTTGTTGGTTTGTTGTTTGCCAGTCCTGGGGCTTGAATTCAGAGCTTAGGCACTTGTCCCTGAGCTTCTTTTGCTCAAAGCTAGCACTCTACCACTTGAGCCACAGCACCACAGCTGGCTTTTTCTGCTTATGTGGTACTGAGGAATCAAACCCAGGGCTTCAGGCATGCAAGGCAAGCACTCTACCACTAAGCCACATTCCCATCCCCCTAGCTTAGTTTTCAAATGGAGATTTGTACTTCTTTCCAGAGCCAGACTAAAACTATAATCCTTCTACTCCCTCTGCCTACCAAATAGTCGGACTTATAGGTATGTGCCACCACACCTGATCCTCTATACTATGGTTGTTTTTAAATAAGATACCTCCTACCTTGTAGAAGGAACTGATAGAAAAAATAATGTTCATAAATTTAACATTTATGTATATATTCAATATAACAAAACATATAATTAGCATAAGACTATAGATACATCATACAAAACAAAAACAATACACATTGAGCACATGAGTAAATTATACACAATCACAATACATATAATGTCACAAATACAAAAATACCCACTTATTCCACTTCCATGTGCACATGTACGCATGTGTTATTCACATACCCAGCTGCTCTGCAAGAAGTCGGCCCTTCTCAGTGGGGACAACCCTCTCCTCTTCCATGTCACACTTGTTCCCCACCAGAATAACCTGAGCATTGTCCCAGGAGTAGGTCTTGATCTGAGTAGCCCTAAGAAGAGACGGGGATAAATGTGTTAATCATGCCGCTATGGGCTGAAAGTCATGTCTCCCTGACCAAATATGCACATGTTGAAACCTAAATCCCAATATGATTGCATTTGAAGATAGGACCTTTCAGAGGTGATTATGTCATAAGGATAGAGCCACTAATAAATGCTATTAGCATCCTTCTAAGAAGATAAAGAGACTAAAACTCTATCCTCTCCCTCCCTCCCTCCCCCACTCTCTGTATCTCCTTCCAGACGATGTAATAACACAAGAAGGCAGTTGTCCTCAAACACTGGTTCTGCTGGCAACCTGAGCTCAGACTTCTCAGCCTCTAGAACTGCGAGAAATAAATGTTGGTCATGTATCAACACAATCTATGGTATTCGTGCGGCCTGAACTCTGGGCCTGGGTGCTATCCCACAGGTCTTCAGTTCAAGGCTAGCACTCTACCACTTAAGCCACAGCGCCACTTGTGGCTTTTTCTGCTTATGTGGTGATGAGGAATTGATACCAGGGCCTCTTGCATGCAAGGCAAGCACTCTACCACTGAGCCACCTTCCCAGCCCCTCTATGGTATTCTTGTTGTAACAGCTCAGACTAACTAATATACACACCCTCCTGTGTCAGAAGAAGATGACTGAAAAATTAAAGAAACAGTCTTCTTTCCACAGATATAGCAATACCTGTCACTAGATACTGCCAATTAATTCAGCTCAGGGATAGTCATAGATATACTTGTACCCACTGGCTGTCACATATGCTGGCCCCTAAGCCGTCTTAACAAAAAAACCTCAGTCACTTCTTTGGTACCCTCTTATATCTGAAGATCTATCTCCTCACTAAGCAGAGGGCTCTTTCCAATGCATGTATCTGATCATGATGTATCCTTTCTTAAAAGTCTTCTCTGGGGACTGGGAATATGGCTTAATGTGCTGGCTTAGCATGCATGAAGCCCTGGGTTCAATTCCTCAGTACCACATAAACAGAAAAAATCAGAAGTGGCACTGTGACTCAAGTAGTAGAGTGTTAACCTTGAACAAAAGAAGCTCAGGGACAGTGCCCAGGTCAACCTTGAACAAAAGAAGCTCAGGGACAGTGCCCAGGTCCTGAGTTCAAGTCCCAGGACTCACAAAAAAAAGTCTTATCTGGACCTTGACTACCCACATGACCAAGTACATTCATACCCTGTCTTTCCAGCCTCATCAATCATTATATTGCTCCATAAGCCTTTTTCTTATTTTTCTTTTTTTTGTTGTTTTTTGTTTTTTATCAGTCATGGGGCCTGAACTCTGGGCCTGGGCGCTGTCCCTCAGCTCTTCAGATGTCGACTAACACTACCACTTGAGCCTCAGCTCCACTTCCGGATTTTTCTGCTTATATGGTGTTGAAGAATCAAACCCAGGGCCTCATGCATGCAAGGCAAGCACTCTACCATTGAGCCACCTTCCTAGCCCAGCTTTTTTCTTTTTGAGAAATAATTTTATTGTTATTATTAAGGTGTTGTACAGAGAGACTACCATTTCATAAGTCTAGTGATGAGCATGTTTCTTTTCTTTCTTTTTTTTTTTTTTTTTTGGTCGGTAGTGGGGTTTGAACTCTGAGCCTGGGCGCTGTCCCTCAGTTCTTCAGCTCAAGGCTAGTGCTCTACCACTTGAGCCACAGCACCACTTTTGATTTTCTGAGTGGTTTATTGGAGATAAGAGTCTCACAGACTTTCCTGCCCGGGCAGGCTTTGAACCACGATCCTCAGTTCTGGCCTTCTGAGTAGCTTGGATTACAGGCTTAAGCCACTGGTGCCCAGTGCATGTTTCTTTTCTTTTTTGTTTGGTCAGTGTCATCCCTTCCTTTACTTTCTCCCAGTTCCATATATCTTCTTAGTCATCCCTTATGATGTTCTTCCATGGCTGTGCCTTTGCCTATACTAGAAATCCCTGCCTCACAACTAGTACATCCTCCAAGGCCTAGTGCTGATTCCACAATTCCTTGTGGAAGCCTTCTCAGGATTCCTGAGCTCCTACTGGTCTCTACTTCCTCCTCTGTGATTCATAAACCTCCACTGAGGTCTTCAGATCATGATTTCGTCCAGAAACCAAAATATAGCAGTGGCTTCCTTCATTTGGATTATTATGTAACTATAAAAAATACCTTCCAGGGGCTGGGAAGGTGGCTCAGCGGTAGAGCACTTGCCTTGCACACATGAGGCCCTGGGTTTGATTCCTCAGCATCACATAAGCAAAAAGAAAAAAAGCTGGAAGTGGCGCTGTGGCTTAAGTGGTAGAGCGCTAGCCTTGAGCTGAAGAGCTGAGGGACAGCGCCCAGGCCAAGAGTTCAGGCCCCATGACCGGACCCCCCCCCAAAAAAAAAACTTCCAGAGGAAAGGGATGATACTGTCCAAAAAGAAATGTACTCTTTACCTGACTTACGTAGCTGTACCCCTCTGTACATCACCTGTATAATAATTTTTTAAAAAGTTAATAGTTTCCAAATGTTTTTACTTTTCAAAGTTTTCAAGTGAGCAGGTATTACTTTTGTAATGAGAAGCATGATTTTAAGAGCGGGAATAAAATAAGATCCTAACTTTATGGGCATCTTAAACAGGCCTATTAAATCCAACCACTTTATCATGTGAAAATAATCATTTTCTCTTTTGGTCTCCTACACCTGCATCATGGCACCTTTTATACTTGAATATATTTATTTGTCTCTCCTTGAGGGCAGATGCAGACCTATTCATCTTTGGTATGACAGCATCAGCACAGAGCAGACAGGGTATCAGTGAATGAATCAATTGGATCAGTAAATAGCTAATGTGAAGCAGATCTTGAATCTGGTCCTGACACCAGCATTGTAACTAACTGAACTGTACCTGCAACTTGTACCTATTACTGACCTTGCTCCTAGAGCTGGTTCCATCACAAACTTCCGTGTGTGTGTGTGTGTGCGCGCGCACGTGCGTGTGTGCATGCACATGTATGCCCGTGTATTAGAACTTGAACTTTTAGGGCCTGAGTGCTGTCTCTGGGCTTTTATGTTCTAGGCTAGCATTCTACTCTTTGGGACCAAGCTCCATTTCTGGCTTTTTAATAGTTAATTGGAGATAAGAGTTTCATAGGTTCCTGCCCAGGCTGGTTTGGAATTGTCTTACTCAGAACTCAGTCTTTGTGTTTTGTTTTGTTTGTTTTGCCAGTCGTGGGGTCTTAGCTCGGCCTGGGCACTGTCCCTCAGCTCTTCAGCTCAAGGCTGGTGCTCTACCACTTAAGCCACAGCTCCACATCTGGCTTTTTTTCCTGCTTATGTGATGCTGAGGAATTGAATCCAGGACCTCGTGCATGAAAGGCAAGCACTCTACCACTGAGCCACCTTCCCAGCCCCAGATCTCAGTCTTTTGAGTAGCTAGGATTGCAGGCATGAGCCAGTGACCCTCAGTTGAGAAGACATTCTCTTAACGGATGAAATTAATTCAATCATCTTTTGCTATGGGCTCATAAAGAGCCAGGCCTATTCTGGGCACTTGAGTTTGGATGGTGGGTGACAGTTAGGGTAAGACCAAATGACAGAGGCAGAATTCAAAGTTTGGGCTTGAGAGAGATGGACACTCAATCTTCAGACTCAAGGTAGGTATCTACAGTCAACTCTTCCTATCTCTCCATCCTACTTCCTTTCAGCTTCCTCCTTCCTCCTACTCGATCTTCACTCAGTTTTCAAATTAGCAACAAGCTCAGGTTATTCTTGGAGAAATCATCACCAGGTGTTAAAGTCACTGTGTTCCCTCAGAGGAATGAACAGACACTAATGGAGAAAAGGAAAGGGGTCACAGCCAACAGGGAATGAGCAGTGTGGAGACAAAGAGCTAATCACTCCAGGAGAGATATGGTGAGAGAAGATGGACAGAGAGTGGGGAGAAAATCAGGACTAGGAGATAAAAGTAAAGAGGGAAATAGTGGAAAGAAAGGAGAAAGGAGGAAGTAGAGGGAAAAAGTTATTAAAAAGGAAGATAGAAAAGGAGAAAAGAGGTTGACTGAGGTGCTATGCTGATTCCCAGTGCCAATTAAACCTCTATGAACTTACACTGGATGTGTTCTTGGTTCCTAAACCCTGCTCCGGGAAACAGAAGTGCTATAGGACTTACTTTCCACCACAGCCAGAGTAATCTTTCTAAAACAAAATTTAGTTGATTCCCAATTCAAATGCTATCATTACAAAACCCTCCATAACCCACCTACCTTCTCATATTTTTGCACATCTGTATATTTTTCTGGAAATTTTTATCCATTTGTCCTTCAAGCTATTTCCTGTTCATTGTACAAAGTGCAGCAAATGTGCCATCAGCCCCAAGTTACCTCCTTTGACTCTCTAAACTAGATCAGAGATTTCCTCTATGTTCTCATAATTTTAATATCTTATTTCATGGCTGTACCTGTCACATGATATTTATTTTCATCATCTGATTCCTGATCTGACTTCTAATCTGAGAATTTCTTGATATCAGAAACCATGTCTGATTCATCTGGGGTTCCCTAACACATAACAGGGGACCTAGGACATGTTAGGTTTTCACAAAGTTTTATAAGCAAACAATTGAATGAATATGTTTCATACCAGTCCTGGACAGCATTGAAGGACTCCTCATTGGTGATGTCATACATAAGGATGAAGCCCATAGCCCCACGGTAATAGGCTGTGGTGATAGTCCGGTACCGCTCCTGCCCAGCTGTGTCCTGGGTAGCAAAAAAGGAAGAGTCAACCACTGGTTTGCTTCGCAAAAAGTCCCTATGATAATTAAGTAATAATCCATGGTACATTTGCAGTGTATTTATTATTTATATTGTAATGTTCTATGATTAGAATAAAATGTTTTTTAAATCTCACAGAAACTACTAAGAAAATTAAAATCCCAATGGAAAAATGGGCAAGAGGCATGAACAATTAATTCATAGTAGAACTGTAAATGAAAGATTATTATACTAAAAAGCATTAGCCTTAACCAGGTACCAGTGGCACACACCTGCAATCCTAGCTACTCAAGAAATAGAGATTGGGAGGCTAAGATCCTAGGATAGCCCAGACAAAAATTCAAGACCCCTGTCTCAGTCAACAGTGGGATGCAGTAGCATGTGCTTAGCAACCTAGGTGTTGTGTAAAGTGTAACCAAATAGACCATGATCCAAGCTAGCTCAGGCATGCAAGAGAATGCTGAGGGAGTGGCCCAAAAGGCACAGTGTGTGGCTGGGTGCTGGTGGTTCACGCCTGTAATCCTAGCTACTCAGAAAGCTGAGATCTGAGTATCATGATTCAAAGCCAGCTTAGGCAAGAAAGTCTGTGAAATTCTTTTTTTTTTTTGGTCGGTCGTGGGCTTGAACTCTGGGCCTGGGCACTGTCCCTCAACTCTTCAGCTCAAGGCAAGCGCTCTACCACTTGAGCTACAGAGCCACTTCCGGTTTTCTGGTGGTTTATTGGACATAGGAGTCTCACCGTCTCTCCTGCCTGGGCTGGCTTTGAACCTCGATCCTCAGATCTCAGCCTCCTGTAGCTAGGATTACAGGCATGAGCCACCAGCACCAGGCGACTTCATGAAATTCTTATCTCCTCAGAACGACCAAAAAAGCCAGAAGTGGAGTTGTGGCACAAGTGGTAGAGTGCCGGCCTTGAGCAAAAAAGCCTAGGGAGCCAGGTGCCAGTAGCTCAGACCTGTAATCCTAGCTATTCAGAAGGCTGAGATCTGAGGATCACGGTTCAAAGCTAGCCAGGCAGGAAAGTCTGTGAGACTCTAATCTTCAATAAACCAGAAAACGGAAGTGGTACTGTGGCTCAAGTGGTAGAGCACTAGCTTTGAGCTCAAGAGCTGAGGGACAGCACCCAGGCCCAGAGTTCAAGCCCCATGACTGATGAGGAAAGAAGGAGGAGGAGGAGGAGGAGGAGGAGGGGGGAGGAGAGGGGAGGGAGGGAGGGAGGAGGAGAGGAGGAGGAGGTGACTAGCAGTGTAAGGCCCTGAAATCAACTCCCAATAGCACATTAAAAAAAATAATAAAATAAAAAACCTTTAGCACTTTTTTAATCCAAGTGTAGATAAGGACTCTGAGTTTATTGGAGTGGGACTTGATTTAATCATTCTGGAAATCAATTTGGAAGACTTAAGAGCATTAAAAAATGTTTGGACCACTGGGCTCAGAAAGATTCCTCCTAAATATTTTTTTTTCCTATAAAATAATCAGCTGGGTGCATGTGGCTCACACTCATAATCCTACCTACTTGGTAGGCTGAGATCTGAGGATTGAGGTTTAAAGCCAGCCTAGAGAGAAGAGTCTGTAAGACTCTAACCTCCAATTGACCAGCAAAAGCACTGTACTGGAGGTATTGCTCAAGCTGCAAAGGAAAACAGCTGGCAGAAAGTGTGAAGCCATGAGTTCACACATCCTAGCACAGTACAAAAAAAGAACCAGAAAAATACTTATGAACAAAAGTGTTTCACAGCTTGATTTAGACAGTGAAAGAATATCATCAATGTATATATTCAATAATAAGAGAATGGTTACAATTAAGAATTTTGTATATGTTAATATAAACAGGAATATTTATGACATGTGACACTGCTTATATGTGTAATATAATACCAGTATTGAAAACATATATCTAAGAAGAAAATCACTGAAGAAGAGATGAGTAATATCTGAAAGGACAAAAATTACTGAAATTAGAACGTTTCTTCATGTATTTTTACTTTCTTTTCAATGAACATGTATTATTCTTACATAAAGAAAAATAAACATTCCAGTCTCCTAAAATAATCATGATCTCAAGCAGTTCATAACCTCACTGGAAAGGCAAAGATGTAATCAAACAAAGATAAAGCCAAAGAAGCTTAACATTATTGGAGAACACAGAGATACTTCACAATGTCCACACTGTCTTCATGTGAAGGACCATCCCATCTCTGCATTATGACAGTTTTAGAATCTATGATGTTGCTGTTGCTATTGCTGCTTTTGATGCTGCTGCTTCTTCTTCTTCTTCTTTCTCCTTTTCCTCTTTCTTCTTCTGTTCCGATTCTGGGGGTTGAACTCAGAACTTTGGCACTGTCCCTTAGCCTTTTAGCTCAAATCTAGTGCTCTACTACTTGAGCCACAGATCCATGTTTGGCTTTTTAGAGATTAATTAGAAGATAATAGTCTCATGTACTTGACTGTCCAGGCTGGCTTTGAACTATCATCCTCAGCTTCTTAAGTAGCTAGGATTCAATCATGAGCTGCCATTGCCTAGCTAGAATATGTGATTCTTTTTTTTGGGGGGGGGGTCCAGTCCTGGGGCCTGAACTCTGGGCGGCCTGAGCACTGTCCTTCAGCTCTTCAGCTCAAGGCGAGTGCTCTACCACTTGAGTCACAGTGCCACTTCTGGCCTTTTTTTTCTGCTTATGTGGTGCTGAGGAATCGAACCCAGGGCCTCATGTATGCAAGGCAAGCACTCTACCACTGAGCTACCTTCCCAGCCCGAATATGTGATTCTTGAATACATACAAAGCATTTCTTCAAGCATTATTCAAATTTTATGAAAGTATAATAAAATTAGCCAGCTACTGGAGGCTCATGCTTGTAATCCTAGCTACCCAGGAAGCTGAGATCTGATGGTTGCGGCCAGCCAAGTCAGGAAAGTCCATGAGACTCTTTGATCCATGAGACCAAAAAGCCAGTAGTAGGGCTGTAGCTCAAGCGGCAGAGCACTAGCCTTGAGCAAAAAAGCTCAGGGACAGTGTCCAGGCCCTGAGTTCAAGTCTCAGTACTGGAAAATAAATAACTTTATTTAAACAGTGGTAGAGCATAAGCCCAGCATGCCTAAGGACCCAGGTTCAAAGCCCAGTGCAAAATTTCTGTGAAATAAGGTTTACTTTTTAAAGTGGGTTTTGAACCCAGAATTTCTTGGTTCTTCACTCAATGGAAGACTGATTTCTATACCTCAGTCAATGAAAGACTACTTTTTCCATACACATTTGCTGAATAGAATCTATAGTGATAGGTTTTTTTTAATAATGAGAAAAATAGCAATTACAAAGTACAAATTACAAATTTTTACACACATTCCATCTCCTCTCCAGAAGCTTTAGAAAAACCCTATATAGTATATAGAATATATGTTGCTTTTATTTTCTTTTTTGGGGGGGAGAGGGGTTGGTCATGGGGCTTGAACTTGGGGCCTGGGTGCTGTCCCTCTTAGCTCTTCAGCTTAAGGCTAGCACTCTACCACTTGAGCCACAGTGCCACTTCCAGTTTTCTGGTGGTTTTATTGGAAATAAGAGTCTCATGGACTTTCCTACCCAGGTTGGCTTTGAACCTCAATCCTCAGATCTCAATCTCCTGAATAGCTAGGATTACAGGTGTGAGCCACTGGTGCCTAGCTTATGCTGCTTTTCTTGTTTGACAGATGAAGAAATTGAAGTTGAGAGAGATTGCCCAATAAGTGTCAAAAACTGGGGTTAAAATCATGTCTATCTTGACTTTTACACCCATAATATACTGCCTTAGCCAAGAAGCATGCTATATGTACTATAAAAGCAGGAAAGTGCCATTCCTGCTGTCAGGAAGCCTTAGTAGAATTGCAGAGGTGACTAAGACATACCACTGAACTGGAATTGAGCAATATGAAACAGTATATCATCAGAACAAGAGAAGTGGTAGAAAATGGTGGAAAACCTGAGAAAATATGTCACACAAGTTCAAGAAAGGGAGAAATACAGTGGTGTAGGGAAGCTGTCAAACAACAGACTCTTCTGTAACAAGCAATCCCCAAATCTCAGCAGCTTGAATAACAAGATTTTCTTTTTCATTATTGCTACATATCCATTAAGGGTTGGTTGGGTGCTCTGCTTTGTGTCTTCCTTATTCCAGGATAAAGACTAGCAAAGCAGTTATCACAGGAGAGATGGTTCTTGAGTCATGTGTTGCCTATTAAAACTTCTACTTTGGGGCTGGGAATGTAGCTTAGTGGTAGAGTGCTTGCCTCGCATACATGAAGCCCTGGGTTTGATTCCTCAGTACCACATAAACAGAAAAAGCCAGAAGTGGTGCTGTGGCTCAAGTCATAGAGTGCTAGCCTTGAGCACAGAGAGGCTCAAGGACAGTGCCCAGGCCCTAAGTTCAAGCTCCAGGACCGGCAAAACAAAACAAACAAGTCTACTTTTAGCTGACATGATGTCTCAAACCTATAATCCTAGCTGCTGGGGAGAAAGAAATTGGGGATCACAGTTTGAGACCAGCCCAGACAAAAAGACACTCTGGAAACTCCATCTCAACCAATGTCTGGGTGTGGTGGTACACACCTGTTATCCCAGCTAGATGAATAGCACAATGGCTGGGCATGGTGATGTGCATCTGTCATGCCTGGAAATATAAGAAAATAGAAGCCAGGCGCTGGTGGCTCACATCTGTAATCCTAGCTACTCAGGAGGCTGAGAACTGAGGATCATGGTTCAAAGCCAACTCGGGCAGGAAAGGCCGTGAGACTTTTTTTTTTTTTTGAGTTCGGTCGTGGGGCTTGAACTCTGGGCCTGGGCGCTGTCCCTCAGCTCTTCAGCTCAAGGCGAGCACTCTACCACTTGAGCCACAGCGCCACTTCT